GGCCACCCACATTCTCGACTTCGGCCCAGGTGGTATCTCAGGTCTCGGTGTACTCACCAACCGCAACAAAGACGGTACTGGTGTCCGTGTTATCCTTGCGGGTGCCATTGACGGACAGAATGCCGAAGTTGGCTACAAGCCCGAGATCTTTGACCGCGACTTCGACCATGCTGTTAAGTACGCTGTCGACTGGGTCAAGGAGCACGGACCGCGTCTTGTCAAGACATCCACTGGCCAAACCTACGTCGACACCAAGATGAGCCGTATGCTCGGTTTGCCTCCAGTGATGGTGGCTGGTATGACGCCTTGCACTGTTCCATGGGATTTTGTTGCAGCGACCATGAACGCCGGCTATGAGATCGAACTTGCCGGTGGTGGCTACTACAATGAGAAGACTATGACCGAAGCTATCACTAAGGTCGAGAAGGCGATTCCTGCTGGTCGTGGTATCACCGTTAACCTCATCTACGTCAATCCTCGCGCTATGAGCTGGCAGATTCCCCTCTTGGCCAAGCTCAGGGCCGAAGGTGTTCCCATCGAAGGTCTTACCATCGGTGCTGGTGTTCCATCCATTGAAGTAGCCAACGAATACATCGAGACCCTTGGCATCAAGCACATTGCCTTCAAGCCTGGTTCCGTCGAGGCTATTCAACAGACCATTAACATTGCGAAGGCGAACCCTACCTTCCCGGTCTTGATGCAATGGACTGGTGGTCGTGGTGGAGGTCATCACTCCTTCGAGGACTTCCATCAGCCCATTCTGCAGATGTACAGCCGTCTGCGTAAGTGCGAGAACCTGATTCTCGTCGCAGGTTCCGGTTTCGGTGGCGCGGAAGACACATACCCATACCTCACCGGTCAATGGTCAACCAAGTTTGGATACCCACCCATGCCATATGACGGTTGCTTGTTCGGCAGTCGCGTCATGACGGCGAAGGAATGCCACACATCAAAGATGGCCAAACGGGCTATCGTGGACGCCCCGGGTCTTGACGACAGTGATTGGGAGAAGACTTACAAGGGTCCAGCTGGAGGTGTCATCACTGTTCGGTCCGAGATGGGTGAGCCAATCCACAAGCTCGCCACTCGTGGTGTCATCTTCTGGCATGAGATGGATCAGAAGATCTTCAGTCTCGACAAGGCCAAGCGCGTCCCCGAACTGAAGAAGATGCGCGAGTACATCATCGACAAGCTGAACAAGGATTTCCAGAAGGTCTGGTTCGGCAAGAATAAGAAGGGAGAGTCAGTTGACTTGGAAGACATGACTTACACTGAGGTTGTCCAACGCATGGTAGACCTCATGTATGTCAAGCACCAGTCCCGCTGGATCGACCAGAGTTTGAAGCGCTTGACCGGCGACTTCATTCGCCGACTGGAAGAGCGTTTCAGTAAAGCTAGCAGCGAGTCACTCATCCAAAACTACGATGAGCTCAACGACCCCTTCCCAATGCTCGAGAAGGTCTTCAAGGCTTACCCCGATGCCGACAACCAGCTCATTAGCGCCCAAGATGTGCAGCACTTCCTGTTGCTTTGCCAACGTCGTGGACAGAAGCCTGTACCGTTCGTCCCCGTCCTTGACGAGACCTTTGAGTTCTTCTTCAAGAAGGATTCACTCTGGCAATCCGAGGATCTCGATGCTGTCGTTGACCAAGACGTTGGCAGAACATGTATCCTTCAAGGACCCATGGCTGTCAAGTACTCCACGAAGGTTGACGAGCCCATCAAGGAGATCCTGGATGGCGTCCACCAAGGTCACATCAAGCTCCTTATGCACGACATCTACGGCGATGACGAGTCCAAGGTTCCCGTCATTGAGTACTTCGGTAGCAACCTGCTAGCACCACCCCAGGGTCTAGAGGTGGATGGTCTTACCGTCTCGGAGCTTGAGAACAAGGTCATCTACCGCCTCTCCGCTGCTCCCAACGCCACAATGCCAGAGGTACACTCATGGCTGCAACTTCTGGCAGGCTCCAGCTACTCATGGAGACATGCTTTCTTCACTGCGGACATCTTTGTGCAGGGTCAGCGTTTCCAGACCAACCCTACTTCCCGAGTATTTGCTCCCACACCCGGCATGATTGTCGAAATTCAGAACCCCAACGAGCCTGCCAAGACTGCCATCATCGTCAAGGAGCTGCACCACGGCGGCAAGTTAATCAAGACCGTCGAAGTCAGCCTCACCAAAGACAGCGAAATCCTGCTCAACATCTACGAGGAGCGTACCGCCATTGGACACGCAGTCGCATTGCCTTTCCGTTTCACTTACCGTCCGGATGTAGGGTATGCGCCTATCCACGAAGTCATGGACGCCCGAAACGACCGAATCAAGGACTTCTACTACAAGATCTGGTTTGGTGATGAGGCATGCCCATTCGACGCGTCCGTCACTTCACGCTTCGATGGTGGCCGCGCCACTGTAACAAGCGAGGCCATCAACGACTTCGTCCATGCAGTCGGAAACAAGGGCGAGGCCTTTGTTGACCGACCTGGCAAGGAAGTCTACGCCCCCATGGACTTCGCCATCGTTGTTGGCTGGAAGGCTATCACCAAGCCTATCTTCCCTCGCGCAATCGATGGTGACCTTCTAAAGTTGGTCCATCTTTCCAACGGGTTCCGCATGATCTCTGGCGCTGAGCCTTTAAAGAAGGGTGATGTTCTTGACACCACTGCACAGATCAATGCTGTCATCAACCAGGACTCTGGTAAGATGGTAGAGGTCTGCGGCACCATCACCCGTGATGGTAAGCCGGTGATGGAAGTCACTAGTCAGTTCCTTTACCGCGGCGCATATGACGATTTCCAGAACACGTTCCAGAGGAAGGTCGAGAAGCCCATTCAACTCAACTTGGCCACCAGCAAGGACGTGGCCATTCTGCGATCAAAGGAGTGGTTCAACTTTGAGGAGCCTGAGATCGACCTGCTGAACAAGACCTTGCTCTTCAAGCTCGAGACTGTTGTGCGATACAAGAACAAGACAGTCTTCTCAGACATCGAGACTCAAGGAGAGGTCTTGCTCGAACTCCCGACTAAGGAGGTCATCCAGATCGCTTCCGTGGAATATCGCTCGGGCACCGCATACGGTAACCCCGTTCTCGACTACTTGGAGCGCAATGGAGCTGCGGTTGATCAGCCAGTACTGTTCGACAACGCTATCCCACTCCACGGCAAGGCACCGCTTCAGCTCAAAGCCCCTGCTTCCAACGAGAACTACGCTCGCGTCTCTGGCGACTACAACCCCATTCACGTTTCACGTGTCTTTGCTAGCTACGCCAACCTACCTGGTACAATTACCCATGGCATGTACTCTAGCGCAGCTGTCCGAAGCTTGGTAGAGACCTGGGCCGCCGAGAACAATGTCGGTCGTGTTAGGAGCTACCACGTCAACCTCGTGGGCATGGTGCTTCCCGACGACATGCTCGATGTCAAGCTTCAGCACGTAGGTATGGTGTCTGGTCGTAAGATCATCAAGATTGAAGTCAGCAACCAGGAGACCGAAGACAAGGTTCTCCTCGGTGAGGCTGAGGTTGAGCAACCCACTACCTCATATGTCTTCACTGGACAAGGATCGCAAGAACAGGGTATGGGTATGGAGCTTTACAACAGCAGTCCTGTCGCCAAAGAAGTCTGGGACCGTGCCGACAAGCACTTCATGGACAACTATGGTAAGCCTGCACTGATCATCTATATTATACTGTGGCTAATTCACAACAGGCTTCGCCATTACCAACATCGTGAAGAACAACCCGAAGGAGCTCACTATTCACTTTGGTGGCCCAGTCGGCAAGGCTATCCGCCAGAACTACATGTCCATGACATTCGAGACCGTTGCTACGGACGGCTCCATCAAGTCCGAGAAGATCTTCAAGGAGATTGACGAGAACACCACGTCGTACACCTACCGGTCACCGACTGGTCTGTTGTCAGCGACTCAATTCACACAGCCTGCTCTGACGCTCATGGAGAAGGCGTCGTTCGAGGACATGCGCGCCAAGGGTCTGATCCAGGTCGAGAGTACATTCGCTGGACACTCTCTCGGTGAATACTCCGCTCTTGCGGCCATGGCTGAGGTCATGCCTATTGAGAGTTTGGTCTCGGTCGTGTTCTACCGTGGTCTTACCATGCAAGTCGCCGTCGAGCGTGACGAGACCGGCCGCTCGAACTACTCCATGTGCGCTGTCAACCCCAGTAGGATCTCCAAGACCTTCAACGAGCAAGCTCTTCAATACGTTGTTGAGAACATTGCTGAGACAACCGGATGGCTTTTGGAGATTGTTAACTACAACATCGCCAACATGCAGTACGTTGCTGCCGGTGACCTTCGCGCTCTCGACTGCCTTACTGGCGTGACAAACTACCTCAAGCAGCAAAAGATCGACATCCAAGCGCTCATGCAGACTCTGTCGCTAGAGGAAGTTAAGAACCACCTGGTTGAGATCATCAAGGGCTGCGCCGAGCAAACAGAGGCCAAGCCCAAGCCGCTCGACCTCCAGCGTGGCTTCGCTACCATTCCTCTCAAGGGTATCGACGTACCCTTCCACTCGACCTTCTTGCGATCCGGTGTCAAGCCCTTCAGGTCTTTCCTTCTTAAGAAGATTCACAAGACGTCCATCGACCCTAGCAAGCTAGTCGGAAAGTACATCCCCAACGTAACCGCGAAGCCATTCGCATTGACCAAGGAGTACTTTGAGGATGTGTACAAGCTCACCAACTCACCCAAGATTGGCAACATCCTGGCCAACTGGGAGAAGTACGAGGAGAGCGGCAAGGAGGAGACGAAGACCGAGGCTGCTGCGTAAGCGTGTCGGCATGTATGCATAGATAGATACGAGATTCCATGATTGGGGCGTTTGGCGGTTCACAAGTAGATGATTGGCCATTTGATATCCAGGTCGGAGGCTTCGATGCTCTTCTTATGATGACATTTAGTAATTCATTCGTTCAGAAAAGACATTTGCAAAGTATATACAACAAAAGTAGAGCAAGAATGCGAATATTCGTGAGATGACCTTTTCCATCAGTTTACCAACGCATGTTTCCTTTTGCGAGCCCTAAGCCTCCCCTAGGACAACCCTAAGAAATTGAATATAGACCAAAAGAATGCGCTCATCCAAATCGATCACCAAAGAATGACATGTACAAGGAAATCATCATAGAAAAGCGTGCCTATCGAAATAACCCCCGTTTCCTCGGCGTCCTTCCCCCATCCGCCGTCGCCATCCCCTCCTGCGCCAGACTCGAACTCGTCAACGCAGGCATAGTATGCGCATGCACCAGCGGCGGCGCCTCAATATGTCTCTGACCCTGATACGGCGTATTATGATTCTGATACGGGGTATGTTGCTGCTGCTGCTGCTGTTGTTGATACGGCGGTAGCTGCTGCCAATTCTGCTGGTAGCTTTGTTGTTGGGTGTAGTTATCGTATCCGTTGCTGATCACTCTGTGGGGTGTTTGTGGGACGAAGTCGTTCGGTTGTTGGTGGGGTTGCGTGTGGTGGGATTGTTGTTGCTGCGAGCGGAGGAGACCAAAGGCCCAGTTTGAGAGGTTGAAGCCGCCGAAGATTATGATTGCTGTGAAGATCTGGGTGGGTGTGTTAGTCTGAGTTGGAACATGCGTATGAGACTTGGTTGTGATGGGTGTGTTGGGGGCTGTGGGGTCGGGCTCTACTGCGTTGCCCGTGATCGCAGGACTGGGTGTATTGATTCTGGGAATGCGTGTGCGCACAATCAAGGTGCTCGCGTCCTTCGTGGACAAGCCTATACATAGCGATTGCCGATGTACCGAAAAGGATGCAACATACCATAGACTTATAACTAAACTCCTCCACAAAAGAGTTGAAGATCATAGCGAACGTCTTCGCTGTCACAGTTGCGCGCGCAACCTTCTTCGGATCACGGTTCATGCACGTCTCCCAGACGCCACATGCCCTCTCCATAGCTGGGACAACCTCCTCCGGTCGACAGCGATTCCGATTGTATTCAATGGCGCATCCGGCGATTTCGACCATGACTTCGGACGCGTGTTTGGAGGATTCGATGTCGACGTCGGTCATGACGCCAGCCCAGGCGGAGTAGACGATGTAGATGAAGAGGCTGCCGAGGAACATGTTGACGGTGAGCTGGAGGTAGTAGGATAGTACGGATGGGAGGTTGGGATGCGCTTCCACCCACGAGAGGAAGCCGCCTACGCTCATGGCGAGAGTCTGCTGGACGGGCCCCGCTTCCTTTGGAGGGACTTGTGGCCGTCTTTGATCATTGTCGGAGTCTTCGCCGTCGTCGTCGTGTACCGCGGCGCGCTTCTTGGACCGTGATCGCTCTGACCGGCGCTTGACTATGCGGTTCTCAGCTTTCTTGGAGTAGTACTTCTGCGACACGTCCTTGTCCCGCTCTCTGTCCCGCTCTTTGGTGGGGCTCGGTGTGGACATGAAGGTCCGCTTGAACCAGCTGTCTCGCCGACCGCCTTTTGCATCGCCGTTGCCTAACCGTCCCATCTTGCTCGCCAATTGTGTGTCTGGTGTGCCAGGGTCGCTGTCTACTTGTGGTGTGCCGGGCGTTTCCCCGCCTGAGCTGAAGTCGAGGTCGTGTGAGGGCGTCCGCATAGACCAGGGGCTCGGTTGGATATGTGCGGGCACCGAAGAGGCGGGTGTGGACGGCAACGGCTTGCTGGGATCGCGGCTGAAATATGTCATGCGGTTGTCGGGGTCGCGCAGCCGGTTTGGTGTCGCGAAACCGTTCTTGGAGGGTGAGTCTAGGACTGAGTGAGGGCCTGGCTGGCCGAAAGAAGGCCCTGAAGTCAGCGGTTGTGTTTCCCCATGTGTCTCTCGTCCGAAGGCGAAAGAGGGGCCTGGGGACTCACGCTTCTTCTGTTGGCTGGCAGCGAGGAAGGGCGATTGAGCGTCGATGGGTCCTGTTTGATTCGTCCACTCAAAGTCCATGGGCGTCGTCGAAGGGCGGTGACTTCGCGACATGATGCTTGCCAGCGGAGGTATAGGACGAGTGGGAGGGAAGGCTCGGTGCGTGCGTCGTGGCGTGTTGCGCTGTTGTTGATCAACACTTGTGTGTCTAGGGTCACAGTTGCGGACTTCCGGCACTAGTCTCGATTGGGGTGACTACAGTTGCAATAGTGTTGTAGGTTTGATTGCCACTGGCGAAGAGAGTACTGTTATTTTGTATCTGCATATGTAATCACGCGAGTGAGACATTCGATACATTGTGAATTAACCGAATGCACCAGCATGTCTTGGTGCTACGGGAGGACTCCTAGTAGCAAGTCATCCTCTCTGCCAGCTTCTTTAGACTTCATGGAATTTCATAGTAGTAGGTATTATACAGTAAAGATCAAAAACCAATGCCTCTGAAGGCCCTCGTATGCACAGAACTCCTTAGGATAAAGATAGCCGCCTTTTCCTGCTAGGCTTACCTCCTTGCTCGATAGGTGGCATGAAGGGTGAGACTCCCAGTGATTCCGCAAGCAAGCACAACTCGTCGTGCTGAACTTCTCCGCCGTCTTCTTCAATTTGACACCTCTCGAAACAGCTGTGTCTCAATCGTTGGCTACGCACCTTCTAGGCAGGCGTAAGGCCAACCTGTGTACCGTTCATCGAGCACAGAGTCAGTGTGAGACCCTCTCGCCATGGACCTGGGTCTCGGCTCTCCATGGTCTTGAACTCCTGCACCATGCGCACAGTCACGTAGCTCGCCTCGGTAAGCGCGTACTGCTGGCCGAGACAGATGCGTGGGCCGCCATTGAAGGGCAGGTATTCCCAGCCCGGACGGAGAGTCTCCCACCTCTCAGGCTTGTACTCGTCTGCGTCAGGGCCGTACAGGTCATGGCGGCGGTGCATGGTGTATGGAGAGTAGCCGACTGTGGTTCCCTTTGGTACGAACAAAGGTGCTTGGCCGTCTGGGCCACCACCTCGGGGCAGGACAGAGTCGCGGATGGCAAGGCGAGAGTTACCGGGAACGACTGGATGGAGGCGAAGTGCTGGACAGAATTAGTATAATAATACATCAAGCTCAGTGTGTAAACTCACATTCGTTGAGGCACCACTTGACGTATTTGAGGTTCCTCAACTCCTCGTACGTTGGTGTGCGACCTCCAAGTGCTGCAACCTCTTCCCTCAACTTGGCATAGATATCAGGCCTCTTCGCAATCTGAAAGAACATGTTGCTGAGAAGACTGGCAGTCGTGTCACGTCCGGCAAGCAGGATGTTGATGAGTTCCTCACGGATCCGCTTCTTGTCGGTAGTCTGCTTGGCCACTTCTTGAATGAAGTAGTACTTGTCGTCGTCCTTGCCTCCGGCACTCTTCTCTGCATCTAATTCTTCTCTGAACCGAAGAGCATCGTCGACGAACTTGTCAACGTAGGCGTGGCAGATGTTGATGGCCTTCATGCCCTCTGGGTTCTTCCGGAATCGGTCGAAGATGCCCCAGCGGGTGCGGGTCGTGATGTCGTCTTGTGCGAAGTTGAATGCCTTGCTGAAGATGACATCCTCGTTGTTTGCGTCTTCTTGGCCGACCATGCGGAGCGAGTTGGTGGAGTGGTTGAAGAGGAACTCTGTTGCGGTGTCGATTGTTAGGCGGAAAAAGAGCTCTTGTAGATCGACAGTAGCGCCATCTTTGGGAATGTGCTTGAGCATAAGCTTGAAGTGCCTCTCGAATGCTTCAATGTCTGCAACTTGGTCGCGAGCAAAGTTGGGTCGCAACAAGTGGCGGCTATTAGCCCATCGCTCACCATCCGCGTTGAAGATACCGTGACCCAAGAGCGGAGTAAAAGCACCTTGCCTATGACCAAAGCCATAGTCCTTGAACTTCAAGCTCAAGATCGTCTTGACGTTTTCCGGCTCACACGTCGCAATGAAAGGCATGGTCACCAGCCTGTTATGGAAAGTGTTACCGAGCCGGCCAAAGCGCTTTCTGTTCTCTTCCAGCAGGATATGGTGCTTGCTGTTGTATGCCATGACCTTCACATTATCGATTCCGAAAATAGGGTCTTTGTGAAACTGCGCCGTGCATGGTTGGCAGCCATTCTCTTTCTTGAAGCGCTGGCGCGCGAGGTAAAGGGCAATACGGGTGTATAGGATATAGGAGATAGCTGCTCCTGCAACGATGAAAAGTAGTGGCGACTGGGCCATGGTGTCTGTAGGTAGAGTGTTGTTGGAGAGTAGTAGTGGTTTTCCGGAAAAGGTTTTAGTGATGACGTCGAGGAACGGAGATAGTGAGTGGCCGCGTCTTCGTGGGAGATATTTGTGTCCTTTAGTCAAGGCAGGCGCGTTTACTCCACGAGGTATTCAACTGCCCCCTCGCAATCAAGGGACTGTTGACGTGGTAAATGTGATTGCAGGGTAGTAGACACAGCCGCTGTCAGGTCCGCCTTGAATCCACAGTATGAAGCGTCTGTTCTTGAGCCAAGTCCAGGTAACAGACACCCAAGTCCTCTTCCCCTTGTCTTACGGCCGTATCCCAATCAATGTCTCTTTTCTTACTCCCAGAAATATCTGTCGTGCGACTGCTCGGCCGAGGTCCAACAACTGTTCGGTCTCGGTTGTTCTTCCGCTCTCCGCGGTGTTGTCCAAGACTTCTGGTATTACCACCAAGAGGCGGATGGTCGTTCAGTAGAGCCACAAACTTGGCTGAGTACTTCCAAGGTTTGTCGTAAATAGTCAACACAGCAAAATCTGTCACTAATCACGGAGCCAGCCACTCTTTTATACCACCAACACTCGTCGAAATTCTAGGGGTTCCACAAAGGCATCGTCTAATACGCCCACGGCACACGCAACAATTTGAGCATTCAGCTCCGGACACGGTGCAAAGCGGCGCCCGACTGCTGAGGTGACGCCCATTCGGATGCGCTCGCGGAGGCTAGAGCGTAGGCTTTCGGTGATGCCGTTGCTGCAGCATCCCTGCTCTGCCCCGTTACCGAGGCTGATTCGCGGGGGTCGTGATTCGCCAAATCTGATACAGTAGATCTGCGATTCGCATGGTGGTCCTAAATGGGTTACTGCCCGATGGTGTATATGCAGGCTCGGAGGACTCGGAAGTTACTGTAATGAGGTGGGATGGTAGTCATGGGTTGCAGGCGAGAAGGGAATGTTGCTTGTTGCAGACATCATCAGAGTCAGCTGAAAGGAAATCATAGGTTCTCGGAGAAAATGTTGCGGTGTAACACAGGCTGTGATAGTGTGCACAGTCAGCCCATAACTTTAATTCGACGCTTTTCACTGGAATTAGAGACTATCCAACGTTGCTACATGCCAATGTCTTGGGGTTGCTGATGGTGAACTCGATACATGTCACCCGCGTGCGCAAGCGCAAAGCCCGCCTTTGGGTCTGTCCAAACGGCCCGCTGCACGAGGCAGACTCCACTTCACATGCTGTCTCCGAGGGTGCAGCGTGGATCACTAATCCGATGAGATCCACTTCATGTGATTAATCGTTTCCTTCTCTAGGTACTCATATACCTGCCCGTAGTCTTTGCATACGTGCTTCGCATCCCAGCCGTCACTTCCACCTCGATCCTCTCCATGTTCGTCGCCTGGGAAGCTTGTCGCAGCTCCTTCCAGTGCAACATCTCCAGCGCACATTACCGCCTGCCTGATGTATTCGAAGCAGTGGTTGATGTGCCATGGCATTTTGACGGGATTTGCCGACGCAGGTGACGCGACCATGAGCTTCATGGAGTTGTATGCGCCCAGTATAGTATAGAGGCAATGTAGCTGATGCGTTACGGATGTTGTGAAGACGGTGTGATTGGGGTAATCGTGTATCGGGTGCGGGAGGTTTGAGTATTCAGAGGGGTTCTTCACGTTGACGTAGCCCAGGCCCTCTACCCAACGTTGTCAGCAGTATACTATTGCAAGGAACAGACAGGGTGCAACATACCTGGTACGATGCTCAACCATGCATGTTGTGTCTCGTTACTCCAGAACTCTGCCGCATCTTCTGGGGCGAACACGGAATCGGGCTTGAAGCTCACAATCTGCTGCGAGAATGTTGGCGCGAATCCTGTGATGTCTCCCGCGAGCTCGAATTCATGGCTTTTTGCATGTTTCTGCCATCTTTTCTCCACCAGCAACCCTACAATGACAAAGAGAAGCGCCGTGTCTAGTATCCATCTGTAGCCCTTCAGCCTCTTCCACACTGTCTTGTTTCTTCGTCTTGGTCGGACTGCGTCTTCTGTATCCCAATCGTCGACCTCCGTACTCGAATCAGAGTGATCGTCGGTGTTGCGTAAGGCGTCGTATCGTTGGTCGGGCTTCATCGGGTCGTTCGTCGCGAAGGCCATGATGGACACGTCGTGCGTCGATTTGTGTGGTGCGAATGCCGGCATTGCTGTAGCTGTAAATTTGATAAGGATGAATGGGTAAGCGCATAGATACAGTGGCGTTGACGCGGCATGGTGTTCATCTGCTTTGATGCTCAAACGTATACTGTGACGCCAATTGTTAGATGATACGTTCCCAGGCTTGGGAGACAATGATCGTCACGCCGAGCCCTCAATCGTTAGCATAGAGCAAATATCTTATTAGAAGTATCAGCTCCCGAGATGCATTGCAATGACATGCGCGTACAAGTACGGCGCGGTGGATCGTGTTGTCTGACGCAGCAAGCACACGCGCCGCATCGGAGATAAACCACATACTGCGATGATGCGCAATCCAAGTGAAGCTCGACTCGAGGCAAGAAGACGACGCATAAGCTTTTGTTCATATTATGCTGGAGTGGGATGGATGTATGGTCCTGGCGACGATGCTCCTGGCACGCGATGCTTGCGCTCATCGGCATTTATCGATAATCACGCCAAGCACTCCCCAGCTCACACCACCTGTCACTCCATTCGGCATCACCACCGACCACCCTCTCCGAAGACGCGGAGATCAAGATCAACGCACTCGGATTGAGGTCGTATTCTACAGGCTACCGATGTTCTCCGAGCGAAATTACAGGATACTACCACCATATTGCATCCAGCCCATCCGCACACACGGTCCGCCTCCTTAGCCAGCATCAGCCGTTCAGCTATGTTTGCTTACTCCACTATCCGGATATGGCGTTTATTACCAGTCTGTTGCGGTGGGTGAAGGATGGACGATGAGCTGCTGTTTCTGAGCGCCTGTGCAGCATGCTCCTTGACGGTAGGCAACGTCACTGTCGAGATATCCTCGTCCGTAAAGAGTCCGAGTGCTTCGACAGACAACTCTTTCCTGCGCGATGGTGACCGTGCTTTCGATGCGGCGTGGTTTCGTGCGCGCATGCGCTTCTTTCTCAGCGAAACAGAATCCCTATGAGGAAACAGTTCTGACGACACACCACCCGAATGTACGATACGAGAGTGCGCGATCGTAACAGAGTCGCGATGGTCGCGGAACTTGGTATCTGCTTCTTCTAGATTCGAGAGTTTTCGGATCATCGGTGCTGGCTTCGTGTTTCTGCCTCTGCTATGCGGGATCTCGACGCTGGGCACGACAAGAGAGTGCTCGGAGGGTGGTGATGACCCTGCTACTGGAACGTGTGGTGGCGTCACTTGAAGGGCATCCCGAAGTGATGATTCTTCACAAGACACGCTCCTGGTCAGAGGCGCGCTCACGGGACGTGATGAGACGCTAGAATGCGCCCCGCTTGTAATTCGGCTGTTTGGGGGTACTATCGCTGCCAGGTCTTCGTCGTCGTCCACCGCACAGTCATAGCGAGTAGCCCGCCCATCGTCATCAGGAAACACTACAACGGTGGGCTTGAAGCTGTATGACGGGCTGTTCCAGGTGCCCGACCAACCTGTGAGTTTCGAGTTGACTCGGTCCAGGCCACCACGTTTGGCACTCGGGCTGGCAGTTTCTAAGGCATGACTTGCTGACGAGCTTCGTCGTCCTCTTGTCTTGATGGTGTGCTCTTCTGGCACATCGTCCCAGATCACCTCATAGCTGCCACTCTTTGTCTCGATGATTTGCATGATGGGTGTTGCTGGGTCGGCGCTGTCATCATGGGTAACGCCTTGCGCGTCCCACGAAGGAGCGATGGCGATGACGTGTACATCTGTCCGCGTGGTAGCTGGTTCTGCCGCAGTGCTCTTCGCTATGTTCATCGTGTCCGGGCATGATGGACACGGCTTGACGGATTCTGTCTGATCCTCGGTCGACCTGGAGCTCTCTCCAGTATCACTTGCCAGAGTCTGAGTCGAGATTTCTTCCTTGATGGGCGCCTCGGGTAGTGAGAGCGATTGATTCGAGCCAGTCTCTTCAAAATCGACCGTTTTCACGCGACGTAGGGTCTTGAGCTCGGCGTCGGTAGTTTCCTGTCGCAATCCGGTCGGTGGTGTGGTTGTGGTACTCTTCGCCTTCTTCTTTATGCATGGCTTCAGCGTCATATTGCTACGGCGCGTCTTGGGATCTGCAAATGCTCGTGCTGGATCTGGCTCCGACTTTGAACGCATAGCAGTAGATCTGATGGGACTTGGCCTTGCACCCTTGTTGATCTGGCTCTTATTCGGGTCGGGGTTTCGAGGCCGCTCGGCCATGGGCTTTGTCTGTTCAACGAGTTGCTTCTGGAGACTCGCAGATGAGATGTTTGGATCGTGATACTGAGATTTCAGTTCGTATCTGGAGTTGCTGATGGAGCGCTGAGAGCTAGGGCGAGAAGGCCGTAACTGGCCTCGTGTCGGAAATGGGGTCGGACGGGTTGTACGGCGCCCATCTTCCTTGGAGCGCACCGCCTCCAATGCGGCAATCGCAGTCAGGTGTCCATCCCGTTCTTGACTTGGTATGACCAGTTCGCTCGCGGTTCGTTTCAGCGAGCGTCTGGAACTCGCCTTCGAGGGTTGGCTCGCTGACATTTCAGTCCGATCGTTGCTCGTTGTCTCAGCATCATGTGGCGTTGTCGTTGCGAAAGCAGGGTGAGGTTCGCACTCTTGATCAGGTGTATAAGGAGAAGTGTTCGGGGTTGCTTCTTTATCGGTTGTAAGGTACGAGGTGAGCTTGGTGATTAAGCCATCGCCGGAAGTCCCAAGCATGGTAGTTACAGATTACGATGAGTATGTCAACTGGACAGCAAACGTTCGCCAGCGTTTGAATCTGAGTTCGAAGGGCGATGGATATTATCGTGATATATAGATCGTGACGTAGGAAATTCGGAAGTCAGTGATATGAGGGTTTCAGGGTGACGTTCCAGTAGTGAGGAACGTGTGTGTGCAGTACCAGCCAGGGCGACTGTGCAATGGCTGCATACTGGATATAGGGAAGGAAGTGTGCGCGATGAGACGTAGGCTCTTGCCTTTAACAGAGCCACAACGTTTTAGCCCGAGGAAGTAACGCTTGAACGAGCGTGTCTCCATCGCACCGCTTCAATCAAGCATGGCATCCTGAACGAGTAATGAAGTATTGCTATACTCGCTCTCATCATCTAGACTCGAAAGCAAGCCACTGGTATTGCGATGCGACTGATGCTCCCCTGGTAGTTTGCAATGACTAGTGTTGAAAGAGGACGCAGTAGAGTTCTTACTTGCCAACCCCTCGAGGACGGTAGACTGGATGTCCGTCCCGGTACCGCCCGACCTCAGCAGCCCGCTCCATTACTGATTCCGACGTCAAGAGACGGCTCGAGTGTGCTCTCTAAAAGCAGAGGTGTGTTGAACCAAGTACCCGCCCGCCAATGTCGTATGCCGGATTGGGGATAACGTCTGCCTCGGCACCATTTCCGGTCAGCGACTCACATCATGTTCTCGAGCAACGTGCGCATCCATCCCCATGAACCTCGCGTCATGACTGGGGAATCTGCCAGGAATCTCTAGTCCACTGCTCTCGTTGGTGTGACTTAGTGACATCCATGGCAGAGGATCTGTTCCTACATGTCGCTTCTTCGACGCCATTTGCCTGTTTACACGGCTTCCGCGAACGCCATGCCGCTATTGCATCCGTACCCTCGTCGGTCGCAGCCAAACAGACAGCGCACGTGTGGCTCTTGGTCTGAACATGCATCAAGATAGCCTCGTGTGCCTGGCTGTCGGGTCGCGTCATCGCGGGATCATCCCGGTCCTGACGGGCATGTATATAGGCTGTTGACATTCTTCAGGAAGCATCTGCTCAGGCACGCGACAGTCAACCACCCTTCGCAATGCTGTTTGTCGCTTCACTCAGCATTCTGGCGCTTTCGGCCAACCAAGTCTTTGCAGGTCCCGTTATCACCCGCGAGGATAATGCTGCCGCTGCCAATGTCACCACCTGCAATGGCAAACTTTACACCTATGAGGAGCTAGCGGGCTACGGGAAACTGGTCAGCGACGCCCGTGATAAGTTCGGCGACACCATTGGTGGTATTGGAAGTGCCATTGCATTCGAGAAGAAGTCTTGGAAGTACAAGAAAGGCTCCTACCAGGGTGTCGTTTGGGGTCTGCCCGATCGTGGCTGGAATACTCAGGGTACTCAGAACACTCAGACCCGCATCCACAAGTTCAGCGTTGTCTTCACACCTGTTGAAGCAACTCTAGAGACACCGGCCAGCCCGAACTTCCAGTTCTCTTACGTCGACACTCTGCTTCTCACTGGACCTGATGGTACGCCCTTGACTGGCCTGGATCCTACAGAAACCATCACGTACCCTGGCTTTCCAACTCTTCCTTTAGCTACATGTAAGCTTTTCATCCATGTACCAATTACCAGTGCTGATAGTTGTAGACACGGGCAACGGCTTTGGCCAGAATGGAACTGGTGGTGCTCGTGTTCCTCTCGACACTGAAGGCCTGGTACTCGGAGATGATAAGACCTTCTGGATCAGTGACGAGTACGCCGCGTACGTCTACCAGTTTGACAAGAAAGGCAAGATGATCAAGGCTGTTCGCACCCCCGAGGCTCTTGTTCCCCGCCGAAACGGAACTGAAAGCTTCAATGCGGCTTCTCCACCCATTTACGACCCTGATCTAGAGATCACACCCGAGGATCCTGACAGTGGCAGAGGCAACAACCAGGGCCTGGAAGCTCTGACCGCCAGCCCAGATGGCAAATACCTTTACACCATGCTCCAGAGTGCTACCATCCAGGACGGTGGCAGCTCTGCGAAAAAGCGTCGCAACACTCGCCTCCTCAAGTACCGTGTCAAAGAGGACAAGACCACGCTAGAGGCTGAATATGCTGTCCAGCTTCCTGTTCTGCCAACAGGGCGCGTCGCCAGTCAGTCCGAGATGCACTACATCTCCGAAACCCAATTCCTCGTCCTAGCGCGCGACTCCAACGCTGGTCATGGAGCAGAAAGCACACTGTCCATCTACCGCAACGCGGACGTAATCGACATCTCCAGAGCCACGAATGTCGCAGGTACGGCGGCCGATGGCATCAAGGGACAAATCGCAAGCAAAGATGGTGTCTTGAAGAGCAGCATCGTACCGGCTACCTACTGCCCGTGGTTGTCCTTCAACAACAACGACCAGCTCGGCAGATTTGGTCTTCACAATGGCGGCGAACAAGACGCGAGTCTACTGAACGAGAAGTGGGAGAGCTTTGCGATGTTGCCCGTTGATAAGGACGACAAGATTGGCAGGAGCGAGAGGCAAGATGAGGATGAAGGAAAGCAGTACTACCTGATCTCTTTCTCAGACAACGACTTCATCACTCAGAACGGTAAGTCATATTTCTTCGTCTTCCTACGCTCATGCTAACGTAACGCAGGATACATCAACTTCGGTCAGAACAAGTACGTGGATGCGTCTGGATACAACCTTGACAATCAGGTTTTGGTTTTCAAGGTCAAGCTTCCAAAGGGAGCGAACCCCTTGTAGATTGTCATAGATGGTTTCTATCGTCGCCGAAGCCAGTATGCGTGATGTACAATCTATTCATTTTAGATCAAATGATTTTGTGGAATTTTTACCAGTGTCGCATGCCATTCGTATTTCCGCAGTATCCGTTGACATCATAGTGTACGGTCGAAGTAGAAGTATGCGTTGTCCTTTATATTATTAATTCACTCAAAGATGATACGATGTAGGCGTCATGCAGCACTCCAACTCATGGCTTCATTGAGAGAATTTGTTCAAGAAAGTATCTACACAACCTACGTGCAACCACCACCGACTACGCCTTCATTCCGAGTCTGAGGCAGAGCTATCTTCGTCAGCAGAAGAAGACACCACAACACTATCCCAAAACTCCTTTTCACTTCCCACATCACCATCTCCAAAACCAGCCACAACGTCATCCAAACCCTCTTCGCTGACGTCATCCATGGTACGCTTGTTCGGGACGAGAGACTTGGTACAGCCTCCTCGAGAGTTGCGACTCGTGGCGGTGGAGTCGCTCCTCAAGGCACTGACAGAAGTGCTAGCGTCCTCAACTGAGTCTCTAGCCTCCTCTTTCACCTCATGTCGTTTCATCTTAGCCTCTTGCTTCCTGTCCAACTCACTGTCCACCCTCTCTACAGCGAGCCTCAAAGCTTCTTCTGCATCGTGTCCTCCGGCGAGGAGTTCGAAGTACACCTTGGCGCACATTTGGTTGTGGCTGACCGGTTCTCTCTTCGTCGCAGGGGATGTGCCCATCTTGTATGGCTTCCGAGGTTTCCATTTGGACAGTCCTGGGGCTTCTTGGCGAACAACGATACCCGACGGAAGATAGAAGTCCATCTCTTCACTTTTGCCCAGGCTAGTCCGGCCCGCTCCACATCCTGGACAAGTTTTCTTGTTGCCCGCTAGGTAGTACCGTCCGAGACCATGGTTGACGTCGCATCGCCAGGCAAGTTGCTCATCTGCTTTCTGCTTCCTCCAGTAATAACCATCGGGGATCTCCTGACCATGTTCCATAGCGTTCGAGCCACTAGCATGGGGACCAAGATTGGGCTCTGGCTCTGGCGTCGTCTCGGGTGTTGGCGCTTTAGGCGGTAGCTTTGGCTGAAGGTACTGAATCACGGCGTCGATAGCAATCTGCCGAGCCCCTTCTTCAGTAGCACCAGTACTCATGGCTTCCCAATATGCGTCCTTCGCCACAGCATTGTGACAGGGTCGGTCTGATTTGCGAAGTCGAGCAGCCTGTTTGGTAGGCTTCCAACGCATGTCTGGTACAAGTTGATGATAAAAGGACCTCAGTGGCATGTAAAAGTCCATCTCAACAGCGTGATTGTCACTGAGCGAGGTATTGCAGCCTCTACAGTTCTTGCGGTTCCCAGAGTTGTAATAGTGACCCATTGCGTGTTTGCCACGACAACGCCAAACGTACTTCTCGTCCACTGAAGTCGGCTCAAAGTAGGCGTTAGGGGGAAGGTGTTGATGTAGTTCCAAAGTCACGGATCCACTCGGATGGAGCGATGGTGACTTGTGTGCTGACGGGCCCTTTGCGATTGGCTGATCCGGCAATTGCTTGCCCGACTTGGGTGCAGTCAATTGCTGCTGGGTAGAGTAGCTCCTCATGACTTGGTGGACTACGGCGTCGTTCTTCTTCTTCCTCCTCTTTTTTGAGGGCTCTGAGGATGTCTTATCGGAATTGGAAATGCCCGACGACCCACCAATATCTCGTGGAAGGATCTGTGGAGGAGAGAAGAAAGAAGACTCGGGAGCACTCACGTCTGAGTCCACTGGGAGACATTGCGACGCATGCGAATCAGCCGTGGTGGTTTCAGTGGATAAACTTTTACTGTTCTGTTGTGATGCATCAGAACTTCCGGCTTGCTCTCGAAGTCGCTCTCTGGCTGCGATGGCTTGGAGCTTCTTCTGGTAGTCTTGTGCGATGGGACGAAGTCCCATAGACATGGCTGCAGCAACAACTTGCTTGAAGTTCTGGCATGCATAGTCGAGAGCCTGTGGTGGGTTGCCCCACTTACGTGTCAGCCGGCGCTTATGATCATTGATCAGCCTGGTTCGCCAATGATGTAACTTCTCCACGTGCTCGGCGCCGTTGTTTTGCCTGCATACGCGGGCACGGTCGCTGATTGGTACTTCAAAATCATGGGGACTGAATGGCTCTGCGTAACGAGGGAAAGGCGAATGCGATGCTTCTTCCTGTGCACGATCTGGAGATAGGGCATCTGCAGAGTCGTGATATAGCTCCGTGAGATCTGACAGTATCCGAGGTTCTTGGTGAATATCAGCCGCCCTTTCTTCATGAACGATGTCGAGTGGAGAGCTTGTAATGGTTTGAGGGTCTTGAAAATCCGAAATTGTGGCTAGTTGCGGGAAAGGAAGCCAATTGCGACGAGGTAAGGTGATTCGATTATCTCTGGCTGCTGCTCCGGGCATGTTCTGACCTCTACGCTTCTTGGATGTTGACAGCTTCACAGCACGACCGATGGGCAAAGTTGCACTGAAGTTCTCCTTTCGAAACAGTGTCTGGGATACATCGTCAAGATCTTCCAATGGACCAGCTTGGTAGCCAAGTTCGTACTCCTTGGTTGAGTATCGTACCATTGCAGGATGTGAACTGGTACGATGCCAGGACACGTTGACTCTGTCTGCTACGGGAAAGAGATTGCTAGGACCGTACTTCGAGAAAGGTTTTATGTCGAGAGTGTGTAGATCGAGGAACGGCGCGCCATCCATGCTATCTCCAGCGAGAAGGTGTACAGTGCGGCAATGACCATTCCAGATCATTTTCTTCGTGATACTGTTGACCTCATGAGATACGGACTTCATGTACTCGGCGATGCTTTGGCGGCCGCTGGTTTCATCCTCAGAACACTGGGCGAGGCGGTCGGGATGCAAGGCATGCGCTACGAACCTGTTCAGAAAGGTGGCTTCGTAAGCCTTCTGGCTAGCTTGGTAAAGCACGTAGTTCACGTAGTCCGCCTTGGAAGGTATACGACGGTTCAGATGAACACCGGCTCGAGCTCGTTGAACACGCGTAGGGTTCTGAAGGGTATCGTTGCCGTTTGAAGGAGCTACGAAATGTAAATGAACAGCCTTTACGCAGAGCAGGCTTCTTACGAGCTTCAAGTGTAAGACCACGGGGTATCCGGTGTTGGTCGTAGGTTTCCGATACGAAAAGCGAGTCTTCATCCTCGTGAGCGTCCATAATTGGGTAATGATTAAATGAACTTGGTGTAGCATCGATTGGTATTCGAGATGGAGCGCCAAAAGAGCCATCGCTCCAGTCAATTTCATCCTCGTCAGCGTAGACCATGATGTTGAAGCAGGCGAATGAAGTTATGAGCAGATGATGGATGTCGATTTTGGAAGATATGATAGGGAGATCAGAAAGAAGAGGATGGCACTTTGACAATCTCGTCGCATACACCCTGACGTGAGTTGGGCGCATATGCAAACGAAAGAGATCAGTCTAGCGTGCGACTTTCGTCATACTAGAGCATTATGTTGACGTCCAAGATTCAAAGACGAAGCAAATAGAATGCATGTGCAGCATTTGTTACAGACCGGAATATGGACGGCCGCCCATAAGCCGCGTCGTTGGTCCGATGGATGGTCGAATTTGAAGAACAGATCCACCAAATTGGTGCTTGAATGACGCGAGTGGGCGCAGATTCGGTATTGCGGTCTGGACAGGAGGGTACTGTTCGTTTGATGCCGAGATTTGCTGGTATGTCCGAGCTGAGCGTCAAACGCACTTTCGGGCGCTGCGGACATTGATCGGTGCATAGTATCAAAAGACGGTATAGTAAAGCGATGCAGTCATACCAAGCACGTGGTCCGTGTAAACGCATTACCATCGACTCAGATATTTCGTAGGGAAGTGAGTGTTTGATGTGTTTTCGTCATGTTGATCCCTCTTTAAGTCATACCCGACTGGAGGCGATGCTGACACACGTGCACAAGTCTCGGTCGTCATCGCGAAACAATTTGGCCACCGAGCCGACCGCGAGTGTATGGGGCATGGAAAGTGGCGACCTCACAGGTTGGGCGTAAGCTGCAGCACTGGAGTTGTGGAGGTGAGGGCTGGGGACAGCTTGGATGGCGGCGCACGGGCCAATGGACCCTGAAACCATGTCAATGTGGCATTTCGAGCATCTTGAAGCCTCGAGCTCCAATTGCTCTCTCCACATTCAAAATGGGAAGGAAGCACGTGTCTTCGCTAGCCTTCATACTCCCCCTATTAGCCAGCACCGCAGATGCGGCGTCAGACCCCGCCCGGCCGCGGGGTGTCGCTCCGGAGTGTAGGTTGCACATGTTACAGCTCACGGAGAGCTTCCACGTAGACGCCTGAGTCTAGCTGACAGTACATGTGCAGTTGCAAAGTACTACAAGGATGCCGAGACATTCACTTGTATCTCGAATCCGGCCATCAAGCTCGCCATTGCACGCCTGAACGACGACTACTGCGACTGCCCCGATGGCTCTGATGAGCCAGGCACTTCGGCGTGCGCCTACCTCTCGCCCCTCTCCCCACCACAGCCTCTAGGCTTCAAGGGTAAAGATGTCAACGCTACGCCTGCCCTTCCTGGCTTCTACTGCAAGAACAAGGGCCACCAGCCTAGCTACATTCCCTTCACCAATGTGAACGATGGCGCATGCGACTACGAACTATGCTGTGACGGCAGCGACGAATACGAGCGTGTGGGGGGCATCAAGTGCGAAGACAAGTGCGCGACAATTGGGAAGGAATGGCGCAAGGCGGACGAGGCGAGGCAAAAGAGCCTGACCGCTGCAAAGCAACGGCGGAAGGAGCTCATTGCCGAGGCTGGTCGCATGCGGAAGGAAGTTGAGGACCGCGTTCAGACGCTCAAGACGCAGATAGAAGGCGCGACTCTCAAGGTAGACGGGCTGACCAAGAGCCTTGCCGAGATCGAGAGGGCCGAGCGAGGCAAGGTCGTCAAGGGCGCAGGCAAGGGCGGCAAGATCACAGTACTGGCTAGTCTGGCTAAGGAAAGAATCCAAGAGCTTACCGACAACGTCAACCGCGTACGAGATGAGAGGAATGCGGCACAATCACGCGTCGAGGAGCTCGAGGCCATGTTGAAGCGCTTCAAGGAGGAGTACAACCCCAACTTCAACGACGAGGGCGTGAAGCGTGCTGTGCAGGCCTGGGAGAACTATGCTGCGCAAGAACGCCCAGGACCCAACAACGCTCTAGACCGCGACCTTGATGAGATCCTCAAGCCAGACTCGGAGAGCGCAATCAAATGGGACGAGTTCGAGACAGTCGAAGAGTCTGACGTAGAGCTCCGTAAGCAATGTTTCCATGACGCATCCAGAGCTATCTGCTAACTATCGCACGCAGTCTACAAGTTCGAGGAGTACCTTCCCGACTCCATCCGTAGCTGGGTGGACAGCAAGCTACGCGACTTGCGTGTCTCCCTCATCGAGAACGGTATCCTCGCAGACCCCACTACCGGCGATGCGCCCGAATCCAAGGCCATTACCGACGCCAAGTCACAGCTTGACTCTGCGAAGAAGGAACTCGAAGGCGACAAGTCAGAACTTACAAGGCACGAGGAGGACCTCACCAAAGACTACGGGCCAGACTCCATCTTCCGCGCACTCAGAGACCGCTGCACCTCCACTGACTCTGGCGAATACACATACGAGCACTGCTTCCTATCAAAGACCACCCAGAAGCCCAAGAAAGGCGGTGGCCACACTGGCATGGGCAATTTTGCACGCATTGAGTCTATCACCGTCGATGAAGAACTTCCTGCCAATGGTAAAGGCTTGGGCAGCGGAGAAAGGATTGCACTCAAGTACGAGAACGGCCAGCACTGCTGGAACGGCCCCAACCGAAGCACCATGGTCATTCTAGCGTGCGCCGAGAATGACGAGATATGGAAGATTGTCGAGGAAGAAAAGTGCGTCTACCGAATGGAAGTAGGTACGCCTGCAGTCTGTGGCATCGATGTGCAAAAGGCTGCGCCGGCGCACAATGAGCTGTGAAGAAACGAAGTCACGTAGAGACAGATTGGGGTGGTAGATATGACGATGTTCTGGAACATGTGTCGCTGTCTTTGCTTCCCCACATCATTTGGAGCGCGTTTAGAGTAGATAGCAACACGATTATCACCAGTTAGCGTGGAGTTAACTCGCATGCTCAATTTCCCCGCTTTCGCACCTTCTCACTTCAGTCTAATACGTCATCCACACCAGGGTCTTCTTCGGGAGAATGGTATACACCAAGCCGCCCTGAACTTAAACTCATGGGTACCAGGATATGCGGCTTAACATCAGCTTACTTTGTACACCAATCCCGCGGGTCGGGTCCGGCAGTTGATTGACAATGCTCTTCGGTTCTTAGTTAATGATATAAGACGCGGCGTTGCGACGCAGCGGCGGAAACGACGGCGCCTTGAACAAACATCAATCCTCAAAGAATGTCCGCAAACGGGTCAACTACAGCAAACTTTCAGAACCACAACGGTCTTCCAATCGCAATCATTGGTGGCGGACTTGGTGGTGCTGCGCTTGCTATCGGTCTTCTCAAACATGGGGTTAAAGTGCACATCTACGAAGCCTCTGCATCCTTCTCTGAGATAGGTGCCGGCGTTGGGTTCGGTGCTAACGCCACGACGGCCTTACACCTCATCGACCCTCGACTGCTGGAAGGCTACATGAAACATGCAACGATCAACACAGACCCTGAACGCGAAAACACCTTCAACACGGTCAGATGGGGTATGGACGAGCGACGACCCAATGGAGCGAAAGCTGGAGATCTCGCTTTCCATCAGACTGACGCCAAGAAGACACCAGATGCGCCGGCTGGATTTTGTATGCGAGGCCGTATACATCGGGCGCGTCTGCTCGACGAGATGGTCGCATTACTTCCCACAGACGTAACAAGCTTTGGCAAAAGCTTCCATAGTGTCGAGCAAGTGGGTGCAGGTATGCTCAAGATAAGCTTCGCCGACGGAACGACTTCTCTAGCCAGTGCACTCATTGGTTGCGATGGCATCAAGAGCAAGGTACGAAGCTTCGTATGTGGTCCAGATATAAAGGCGAAGTATGCTCATGAGGTCGCGATAAGGGCTATGGCGCCAGGTGAAGAGGTCAAGAAGGTGCTAGGAGCAGAAATGGCTCTGAACAGTACGTTGTACTGCGGCTATGGAGGATATTGCATCACCTACCCTGTCGACCACGGAGAGTTTATCAATATGGTCGCTATGCCACACGATCAATCCCTCACCAGCACTTGGGATCAGGATGACTGGATAGTACCCACGAGCGCGGATGAGGTCTGCGAGAAGTTTAAAGACTTCTATCCGCCACTCATCGATCTTATTGCGAGACATGCCCTACCGTCCAAATGGGCACTCCACACTCTTCAGCACGATAGGCCATACTTCAAGGGCCGTGTCTGTCTGCTGGGCGATAGCGCGCACGCCACGACTCCTCACATGGGAGCTGGAGCCGGCATGGCTATGGAAGATGCATATATTCTTAGTTGCCTAGTAGCTGCTGTCGGTCGTTCTGATAACATTGAGGCTGCCTTCAAGGCCTATGATGCTGTCAGACGACCTAGAACACAGGGATGTATTCAAAGGAGTATAGAAGCTGATCTGGCATACAACTTCATGATTGAAGGAATAGAAGATGACATGGAAAAGATCGAGCAGAAGCTCAATGAGAACTTTCGGTGGCTTTGGTATGAGGATTTGGAAGAGCAACTGCGCAGGGCGCAAAAGGTTCTCTGGGAAATAAGCGGACATGACGTTAGTCAGCTTTAGCTTGCTCGGTTTTTATGTTTGCGTAACTATTCTGAGTTCCTACAATTAATTACTTTATCTCCTTCCAAGTTACAATGGTATCTGCCGATATCTACAATAAAGTGTCGGCCTTCGCTCTTTCAGTTTGACGATCTAGACCAACGCAGCTTACGTCATAGGCCCGAAGGTTTCGGCGACACCGCCGCTCCCGCCAACAAGTTCTATCTCCTGCTACGTCCAGGTACCATCTCGCTTCCAGCGGCTACATATCTGTATGCGGACACACTTTACCACCTAAAGACTAATGATATTTAGGACGATGCCCATCAGGGTCTACACCGGCGTGGAACGCCTTGGAAAATTCTATGAGCCAAATGCCGCGCAGATGCCGAGATCGACCGAGCGCTGATTTCAAACCATCGGACAAGATGTGATTAGTATGGGGCGTATATAGCCTTTTTGATCTGTCTAAAAGTCTTGTTGCTTAAACCTCTCAGTTGCTGTCGTTTGTTTTCTTCAATAACCTCCTACATGTCCGAACTCTCAAACCTACCAAAATCAAACTCCCACAACACCAAGATGTCCGCAGACCGCCTCTTCCAGCCGCTCAAGGTGGGCGCCATGGAGCTCAAGAACCGCATTGCCATGGCACCTCTGACGCGTTTCCGTGTCAACGACGATCATGAGATCCTACCTATGGCTGCACAGTACTATGGCCAGCGTGCTTGCGTACCAGGAACTCTCCTTATCACCGAGGCTACCCTGGTCTCTAAACAATCTGGTGGTTACCCTAACGTACCCGGTATCTACACCCAGGCCCAGATCGACGCATGGAAACCAGTGACCAAGGCTGTCCACGAGAAGGGCTCGTACATCTACCTCCAGCTATGGGCCCTTGGACGTGTAGCAAACAAGGACTTTGCTGCGGCGAACGACATCACCATCAAGTCTGCCAGCGCAACATCCCTAGGCGAGGGCTACGCTACTCCCAAAGAGATGACCGTCGAAGACATCAAGCAAAGTATCTCCGACTACGCTCAAGCAGCCAAGAACGCCATCGAGGCTGGCTTCGACGGTGTAGAGATCCACGCTGCCAATGGCTACCTCATCGATCAATTCCTGCAAGATAACGTCAACAAGCGCACAGATTCCTATGGTGGCTCCGTCGAGAACCGCTCCAGGTTCTGTGTCGAGGTTACCCAGGCTGTAGTAGAGGCCGTGGGCGCCGACAAGACCGGTATCCGGTTGAGTCCGTTCTCCGAGTTCCAGGGCATGAAGATGAAGGATCCCCTTCCCCAGTTCACAGACATCATGAAGAGACTGGATGCGTTCAACCTGGCCTACCTCCACCTTGTCGAGGCCCGCGTAGCTGGTAACGCAGATGTTGAAGGTTCCGACTCCCTCGACCCCCTGCTGCCTCACTACTCTGGCAAGCTGCTCATCGCTGGTGGACTAAAGGCCGAGGACGCGAAGAAGATAGTCGAGGAGCACAAGGATCGCGATGTTGTCGCGGTATTCGGACGGTACTTCATCAGCACACCCGATCTCGTTTTCCGGATAGAGAAGGGCATTGAGCTCACTCCTTACGACCGCGATACCTTCTACGTTCCCAAGAGCGAGAAGGGATACATTGACTACCCTTTCAGCAAGGAGTGGAAGGAAGCGCACCCTAACTTGTAGAGATTGTGCAAGAAGATACCCAATAGCATTTGCGTGTTTGATAGAATAATTGGATAACCATTATGGAACACGCTTTTGTTGTGGCTGCTCTGCTCGACTTCCAAGGCTCGGTCTCATGCAATTCCGGATGTAGCCGTTGGCACGTCCCCGTACTAACGCACGCCAGCCCTCATCTTTATTGCCGTTATTGCGCAACTTGCGGGCCCTCAAAACATACGACACTTATAAACCTCCTGTCGCCAGGAACGGAAGTCGGGATGCGCAACGGCATATGAATGACATGAAGCTCCATGGCACACTGAAAATATGCAGTCAGGTGTTGGTGCCCGGTAAACACTCGCGGTAACCGTCACAACTCAGCATAACAAATGACGTCGATGCGAAAGTAGGCAATGCCACATGTTACATGCGCCGGAGCAAAGCTCGGTAGTAGGTTAATTTATTTGGCGGGAGTTCATCCGGGGTAATAACCCAAGACCCCTGATTCCCTGCGGTTACTCCACATCATTCCCCTGGTACCTAACCTCAGCTGGAACAAAAATCTCGAGCGCTTGACGAAAGCAGTAGGTACGCCGTTTCAGTCACTTGTCATTGGAGAGGCAAAGTGTTTTGAAACAACGCACGAACTTCATCCTCTCACATGCGCATAGCCGTGCCTCCTCGCTTCGGAACTTTTAGATTGACACCTTAACATCCGTTTATGTCGGCTAGTATTCACGGGGAAACAGCCTCGAAATGTTTAGCTCTGACGATGATCGTGCGATGAGTGTAGTGTGTGTATAAGAAGGGGAGGAGGGTGCAGGAAATTGTGTGTTGCAGACTCTCACGACATTCACGATGCACTTCTCCACTTCAGTACTCGGCAGCATTGCTGCGCTCTGCGCAACTGCCAATGGCGCCCTTACTCGTGTCAACGATTTCGGAGCGAACCCATCCAACCTTCAGATGAACATCTACGTTCCTGCCAAGGTTGCGGAAAAGCCTGCGATCATCCTCGCTGTACGTCTTGCCATCCCATCCATTTTGTAGAGATCATCTTTCTGACATATGAATAGTTGCACTACTGCGGTGGCACCGGAGAAGCCTACGCACAGTCCACGAAGTACAACAGCCTGGCCGAGCAGAAGGGCTTCATCAACATCTTCCCCTCCACCAAGAAAGACAACAACTGCTGGGAGGTCAACACCGCCAAGGGTCTCTCCCGTGATGCCGGCGGCGACAACCAAGGCCTAAACAACATGATCCAGTACACCATCAAGAAGTACAACGCCGACCCCGCCAAGGTCTTCGTCACTGGAAGCAGTTCCGGATGCATGATGACCAACGTCATGATGGCCACCTATCCGGACGTCATTGCCGCAGGATCATGCTACTCCGGTGTCGCCGCAGGCTGTGTTGCAGGCAGCCCCGGTGCCAGCCCCAGCACCGCAGACCCGCGATGCGCAAACGGTCAGGTCATCAAGTCGCAGGCTGAATGGGTTGCCCAGGTCAAGGCTATGTACCCTGGCTACTCTGGCACTTACCCTCGTATGGCGACTTGGCATGGAACTGCTGACTCGCTCGTCAAGATCCCTAACTTGGGCGAGCAGCTGAAGGAGTGGAGTGGCCTGCTTGGTGTTTCGTTCTCTAAGAACGAGACGAACACTCCACAGAGTGGTTACACAAAGATGGTCTATGGAGACGGAACGAAGCTTGTGGGTTACAGTGCTCTCAATGTCGGTCACACTGTGCCGGTGCACGAGGCTGAGGACCTCAAATGGTTCGGACTTTGAATGGAATGATGAGACTACGACACAATTTGTTAGTTTGAGTGTACATATTTATGAAAGTCAATGTAAATCCTCAGATAGTCTAAATATGGCTCTTCCAACTCTTGGTATTTATGCGTCGACATCATGATCATCGTGTTGCTACTGATCTGACGCGCTGGCGCAGTTTTCTGGACGCCGGCTTCTTGTTATGTTTGATTGTGTCCTTTCGCAACAGTGCGAAAAGCTGCGAGCCGAGATTCCCTGCCGCTCTTATGCTAATGCGATAGTGTTGGCGGAACGCGAAAAGACAGAGAACTAAAACGCAGCCCAGGGTAACTACATTTGACGTATTAGTAGTTTGGATAATGGGGTATATTCGTGACTTCGTGCCCACTAGCAACTACCTCATAACCGGCGGTCTTGCCTCTTTGTTGAACGCCATCCTGCTGCACAACCATTCGACCGCCTCCTGCACACCAGTCCCTGTGAGCGCACTGCAAGGAAGCACTCTGCTGTCTCTCACGTTCCCCCCCTTCTCTCCCTCAAACACTCTTCTCACAAAGCCCTCTTTAATCCTCACCACTTCAACGCAATCTTCGCGATCTTGCTTGTTCGCCAGTATCAATATCGGCACGCCACTGGCATCTTCGTTGGCCAGTACACTCTCCAAGACCAACTTGCACTCATCCAACCGCCCAATATCTTCTATGCTTGCTGCATTGTTCGCGCTCATGTCGGCTAGCGTGGCGTTGCCTACATCGCTGCTGTCTATGACGAAGACGATGGCGTGACAGCTGCTGTAGTATGATTGCCAGAGCCCGCGCAGGCTATGTTGGCCGCCGACATCCCATATCTTGAGGTAGATGGGTGGATTTGGAGGGGGTAGGGCGATGGTAGCAACGTTTTGGCCGACGGTAGGAACAGTCTTGAGATTGGGGTGCGAGGCCGTGTAGGTGCCTTTTATCTGCTCGAGGAGTGTAGTCTTGCCGGCATTGTCGAGGCCTAGCAGGAGGACAGAGTATTCTGGGATTCATTAGCCTCAGCGCGTGCCATAGACCGGAATTGGAAGTTGTACCTTCCTTACTTGTCGCATGGAGATATATCGACTTGAAGAGGTGATACATGGTTTGCGCGACGCGTTGTGTCGACGCGCGCTTCACATGGCCGGCGAGTGAGGGTCTACAGCGCGCGGTTGATGGGGAACGTGTCATACCGTCGCTATCGATAAGGGCGCCCCAGTCCCATATATTCCGACATGCGACCTTCGTCATCTCACCTACAACCTTTCCCCCACCACTTACTAAGACATTTACAAGGGCGAGCAAGGCAGTGTGAGTATTCAAAGACATAAGGCGCCAATGAAGCAACCAAAACGTTGAACCGAGGCACCTGCGAGCTCATCATCATAGCTAGCGACGCCGAGCCCCTCGCCATCACACTTCATCTTCCACTCTTGTGTGAAGATAAGAATGTTCCGTTTGTCTAGTGCCCAGTCAAATGGCCCTGGGACGGGCGTGTGGCGTCGGCCGTCAGGTAGTGGCTGTTAGCCTCACCAGCAATGAAGCAAGTGATCTAATGGGACAGATCAGGGCCATGAAGAATGCGGTGGAGAGGATCGCAGCCTGACGAAGGGCGGGTCTGGAAATGGCTCAGCTCTGAGCCACTGAATGCTGGTCCTGGACCGGGGCGGGAATAAGGTCTACGCGACACAAGATGTTTGGTGGCTCCGGAATTCACTCTCTAGACATGGAAATGCCAACCCTTTCTCCGGATGTCGACAAATCTCTGAAAGGCGTTGTTATTGTTGTTGTTGTTGTTGTTGTCTTGTAAGCTCACTCGGTCCTGCATCACTCTACTTTGCCATGCATTGAAGTTGGCACTCGGTTCCATGTTGGGACAAAGGACGTGGTAGAATAGCACGCTATGAAAGCTATAGTATCTCCTACAAGGATCAAACTAAACAGGGGTTCTGCCATCTACATCGATATGAAAACAGGAGTTAGAAAGATGCTGAGTCACTGTAGACTCTTGGTACGTATTTCTGAATTCATCGAGTTGGTGTTGCAAGCAACGGTATATATACGTAGGATAAGTATGGGGTACAGGGCCCTCGCAGCCTGCTCGCGATTGGGTGGGTTAAATGATTGTGGGGCTCGGAGCCGAAGCGCCGAGCCGCCGAGTCTATATTCCAACATTTCCGATCTTGCCAAAGGACACTTTGGTAGACTCTTGGTACGGTGCTCAATCTTTCTCCGTTAGTCGTCAACCACTTTGTAGCCCTCAGGGTTCTTTTCGACGAGCCATGTCCATGTCCAATCGTCCAAGTTCTTGGTAAGATCGATCGAGAAAGCTTTCCAATCTTCGTCCGTATCTTCAGAAGGTTTACGACAGCTTGGGTCCTGGGGATAGTTTTCCCATCGTTGCAAGAGTTTATATGTCTTCAGAAGATATTTTCCAGCAACCTGGTTGGCAGAGACAGCCCCGTCAACGGGAGACGACGTACCAGTCCCTGACTCTTTGGCGTACGAGTCGTCTTTGATGATGAGTAGTACGTTGTCCCGCGGAGTGCAATGGAATTTGTTCATAATTGTTGGATCAGCACCTCCTCTGAGAAGCGCCTGTATCTTCTGGAAGCTACCGCGGGCTTCTTTCCACTCATGAAGCTTATCCGTCGAACAAACTTTGTGCAGTGCGCGCGATAAGGTCCCGCTATTACTGTACGCGACTAGCAACATAAACACAGCGAAGCTCATCGCACTGGAGCGCTCATAGGCCCGGGCGAGGTTTTTAGGCCTTACAAGACTCCCATGTTTCAGCAGTAGATCGATACATTGTAGCCGCTGTCGTTGCTTTTCTTGAGTCTCGGTTCGATGAAGGGGTCTTTCGATAGTACGGTCCAGAAGTGTATGTCCTCTCGCGTTCTTCACATTCAGCATGCGTTGTAGGCAGGAACTGTCGCTCTCTGCATCAATCAGGTGCTGTAAATCTGAAGGGCGAGCTTCCGTAGATGCCTTCACCACCTCGGACCAGTCTCGTCCTCCATGACTACCAAAGATTTGGGCAATATGAAGGCGGGCCACCTCGCCTTCTTGCGAAATCTCCGAAAGAAGCATCGATTCGGTCAAAACTGAATCTGAGAGTTCTGGAGTGAATATACTGATGTCCAGCATGATGGTTTCCCACAAACTAGCTCTGGGATTCGAGGCTGATGGGTTGACTGCATACTTGACAGCGCAGAATAGCAATTCGAGAGGTGCAAAGCCGAGATTCTGTAACAGCTCCAGACACATGCTATCGCTAAGTGAGGAGTTCATGATAGACCGACTTATCCCTGGCGTGTGTGCCTCAGATATGACCTGTGGGTCCAGTACACAGCGCATCAGGTATGTAGAGGGTATTTTCCATGCGAGCTCGAACGTTTCTTGGAACCGAGATTGAGTTGTTACCAGGATTGCAGGATCGATAAGCGAGAGAGTTGGTTTGCGTTTGCGTCCCTGCCGGTTTAGCGGTGCTGATTCTTGGACCTCGGTACGCATCTTGAGTGCTTTTTCAGCAGGCCATAAGTGCTGCAGAATCTTCAGCACTCCTTCCTTCTCCGACGAAATTGTTGATTTGAACGCTCGATAGACGACAGCGTTGGCTTCTTCGTCTTCTTGTGGAAGACGTTCCATGATCCAACGAACAGCTTCGAGTGTACCTGTATTGCATGCAATCTCCAGCGGAGTCTCTTGAGCAAGGTTTCTCTGCAAAAGCGAGTCGTAAGTGGTAGTACCCTCAGTGGACTCGAATCGTGTTTTCATCAAGATATCGGTGTTGTTGTAGCGAGCAGCTAAATGAACGGGCCAGTTTCCGTCGTCATTAGGTTCATCCACTGGGGCTCCTTGGTCCAGACAATCGAGAATACCGTCAAGATCGTTGTATGTAAAACCATCCATGAGGTCTTGCCAGAGCTTTTTGCGCACTTCGGGGTCCATTTCCAGAGGCGGATTTAGTACCTTTTGAAGCATACTTTCGTCTATCAAGAGATGATCTGAGTAGTCCAATCCCAAACGGAAAGGCCATCTTGGCTTTGTCCAAGGCCAATGTTTCCATGCCATCCAGCCCCTTTGGGGATAGGCTCGACTGATCGATCGCCCGCTGTGTTCGGGAGTCTGTGCATCATCATTCGTGCTCTCAGCAACGAACAGCCTGTAGACTGCATATGCGACATGGCAAATGGCAAAGACCGCTATGATAGCATTGGCACTCTGTCCCCACTCGCTTGTTAAGCTGTGCCAGGACTGTCCGATAGTGTTGGTTCCACGTAGGATGTTGAATATAGATAATCCATGGAGTAGCACGAATGACCAATAGATCAAGTAGCTTGTCGCTAAGGTGGCGGGTAGTGACCTCCAAAGAGCGGTGGCTTTGACACGTGTGCTTCGTGTAGCGTTATTTTTGTTTTCAATCTTGTTCAAGCTCGACGTGAGACGGTAGGCTACCTGACATGGAAATATCGACGCAGCGATGCGGAAAGCCAAGTAAATCCAGTATGCTGTCGAATAGTGCTGGGAAAATAACTGATATGGTGTGGAGGACCCACACTGTGGCTTATCACGCTGCGTGTATGCGCTGAAAGCTATAGCCTGTACAACATACGCCACAAGCTGCGTCAGGAAACCGAAACTAACCAGCTTCCGAGCAGCAAGTACGTCCTTGTCCGAAAAGGCCATCGATATCGAAGCACTAACTGCATCAATACTGGAGAGAGCAATGACAAGCTCTTGGGTGTTCAATCCTGACATCCCCTTGGCAAGATTGATCGTGAGATAAAGCAAGTCTATGCTGTGTTAAACCCGGGATAGCCTTCATCGTTCTTCACAACTCACTTGCACACTGAGCCACGCAAAGCTCCTTGGCACCTGAGGTATGTACCGTGAAGTGACCTAGGAACAGTACCACAAGGAGTACAAGACAAGGCAGAAAAAGGCCGAGAAGGACACCGATACCCCCGACATCTGGGTTGATTTCGCTGTTTTCCTGTAAACAGGCTTCAAATCTACTGCTACCGAGTATCGGTACAAGAACCACGGCAATTGTGGCCAGTATCGAGCAGACGACTGGTCCTGCTCGAAGGAGACGAGCACGCTTCCTGGATGTAGTTTCTGCGATGATTCCGCTTCGTAGGCGTGTCTTGTCCAGGTAAACTAGCTGAATGGTGTAGATAAATGCACAAACGCTGTTGGCTATGAGGAAAATATTCAGGAGGTCCATGTTCCGACACGATTAAGACGACATAAAGTGAAGAGATACGTCAGGGGGTGGCTTCGCTGGCGGAAACCAGTCTCGAGATGTGGGAGGCCGGGAGGGCAGCCTTTGGCAGCATCTTCTAGGTTCTGGTCGAGTGTGCGGCTGAAGCTCGCGTTGGTAAGTTTCGGACTGCCCCAGATGTGGCTGCTTCTATGGCTGTAATGGCGCGTTGCGCTACTGTCACTAGAGGTGGCTAGAATCTGTGTTGCGTCTTGCTGCATACACATGGTCCCATCTTGATAAGTAGGCAGTTCCTACGACAATGTATATTTCTACCTTATATCTCCTGTCGGATGCGAGACGGATTATAGCCACCCTGAGTGGAGTCTGTAGAAGCTAATGGGAGAACTGCCCGCTCAAGGGTGGTACACGTGCCAGATGACATGCATGTGACATTCGAGCTTAGCTGAAGGCTAACCTTTGATGATATTAGTGCGAGGAGCCGCATGCAGGCGTGGATATCGAGCTGCTCTTCGGTCTAGACTGCAAAGAAACTAGCTGCCTGGGCGTTCGCGCTTTGTTCTAGCAGGAGCAGATGTCTTTTCTTATGTCGTGTGTCTTGGGAGGGTGTGGGATTGGGACGTTGGGGTGCAGGAGACTATCTTAGTACTCTACTTGTCCAGCCACAGCTCATATGACATCATGCTGGCACCGCCACGCTCAGCATTGTAGCATGCCACTAACCGCGACCGTTACTCTAGGCCCATCTTGACGTTGACATTCAGTTGCCGCGGAAGCCGTGAATTACGTGCAGCATGCCTGGGCAGTGGTTATCTTATCTGAGCAGGGTGAGACATTGGGCGCTAAAGTCATGGATCGCCGGGGAATGGGACGTCTAACAGGGTCATCTGCAGCTTTGCTCCCACCCACACGCACGCTTCAGAGGGGCACGACGAGCGCAGTAATGCGTCTTTGCCCTTGCCTAACAGCTGTCATTGTACGGCGGCAGATTCGTGAGCTGTGCGGATAGCCACGTAGTTTGAGCGTTTGAGCTGTGACCATAGCAGCTCCCCAAAACAAGGTTGAACTACAGATAGTCTGACAGCGTGCCCTGCCCTGCCCTTGCACAACTTCACAGCGCCCATCGCACAGCGACACCACCATGGAAGATCGCACGCCCGCCGCGGGTAAAGCGAAGCCGTCGCCCGACACGTCGCGCCGGAGCAGCACCTATGGCACCGGCAGCGACACGCCTACCCAGGGCGCAACCGCCACGGACTCGGCGCGCAGACGGCCGCAAGCTGCCATGCCGCCCTCTGGCTATGGTAGGCGCATCATCTGGCGGCCCCGGGAAGATATCATGATGCTAACGCTACTGTAGGCTCCATCACGTCTGGCATCGAGCGCCGCCAGCAGGCCGCCGCGGCGACGACGCCCGAGAGCTCCACCAAGCCCAAGAAGCCGCCCATGAGCCGTCGCGTCACGTCGTCGAAATGGCCGCAGAAGGGGCAGGAGTTCAGCGTCGACGATGCCGAAGAGGAGGTGGAGCTCGACCAGGCTCAGCAGGACCAACAGAAGAAGCAGCGACAGACACTGCGCCGCAAGCCCTCGACTGTCCGCCGCCGCACCGCAGCGCCGCCGCCCAACCTAGCCACCATCGACTCGACCGAAGACGACGAGGTCGAGCAGGACAACGCCGGCCCTCCGACGGGCGCCGATGCAGATGCGACGCCCTCGTCCAGCGAGGAGACGGTACAAGCAGACGAGGAGGAGAGCGGAGGCGGCGATGAAGAGGACGACCTGAGCGACACCGAGAGCTTCACGCTGCGCGACCGCCAGGATGCCATCAATGTCACCCATCCCTTCGGTATCAGGATCTGGAAGCCTGCCCTCTACAAGAAGGGCCGGTCCGTCCAGCGCAACGCTGAAGAAGACATCCACTCGTCGCCAGGCCTCTACGTCAGCCGATGGCTGCTTCTCTTCAACATCGCCTGGACTCTCATATTCGGATGGTGGCTAGCTGCTGTTGCCACGGCGGGCGGTCTGCTGTGTGCGCTCCTGGGCTTCAACGGAAGCTGCAAGGAGTACTCCCAACTGCTTTTTCACCTAGCCGGATACCTCTTCTACCCCTTTGGCAAATACGTCAAGCTCATGCAGGATGAGGCGTACATAGAAGAGGATGAGGGCGAGGGTCGCAGCATCAGCGAGTACGAGCAGTGGCAGAGCGGCGACATTGAAGAAGGACGCCTTTTCTTCGGCCCAACAACCGGCACGAGCTCCTTGATCGGCCGCCGACGCAACAGCGTAGATTCCACAGGTGGGGAGACAACAAGCCTCCTCGGTAGAGATGGACGTGCCAATGTCAACCACACCGACACGGCCAACACTAAGAGGAGGCTTTTTGGCCGTGGCAAGTGGAACCTTGGCCGCGTCGTCTTCTTCTTGTTCTTCTACGGCTTCCTCACACCCTCGCTATTCCTCGTTTCGGCTCTGTGCTGGTTCCTCGTCTTCACCATACCTATGGGTAAGACGACGCTGCTGCTGTTCGATCATCTGCGGCGTCATCCCCTGGCACTCTCGTTCCATTCTGACAACGGCAACGTGCGCCGCCCCGGAGAGTCGTCCTCGATCCTGCTCTGTACCTACCGCGCAGTCGGTATCAAGTATTGGAAGTACACTATTGACGGAACCAACATCTTCCTGATCAACCTCCTGGGCCTGGTCGCCTTCACCATCTTCGACTATTTTGTCTTGGCCGAGGCCTTGGAGATGAAGTTCTGGCTGACCGACCAGTTCTTGTTGTTCTCTCTAGCTCTGCTATCAATCATTCCACTGGCATACTTCATCGGTCAGGCCGTCGCTTCCATCTCAGCTCAATCGTCGATGGGTGTCGGCGCTACTATCAACGCCTTCTTCTCTACGGTCGTCGAAGTCTTCCTGTACTGCGTGGCCCTCAAACAAGGCAAAGCTCAACTCGTCGAGGGTAGTATCATCGGCAGTATCTTTGCAGGTATTCTGTTTCTACCCGGACTGTCCATGTGCTTTGGCGCTCTCAAGCGTAAGACTCAGCGTTTCAATGTACGATCCGCTGGTGTTACATCAACCATGCTCCTATTCGCTGTCATTGGCGCTTTCGGTCCGACGTTGTTCTACCAGATCTATGGAAGTGTAAGCATCGTCCAACTGCACGTCCATCCTGTGCTAATCAAAATCAGCATGAACTCAACTGCCACCAATGCGTGCACTCTAATCACCATGTTCCCCTTGAACGAGACTGCCGTAGATGTTACTATTCCCAAACACCGGCACTCAACGATCGCTTCTACAACGAAGCTGTAAAGCCTTACACCTGGTTTGCGGCTGCTCTGCTGTTCTTCTCCTACATCATTGGTCTTCTGTTCACCCTTCGTACTCATGCCGCAACAATTTGGACCGAGCCAGATGCGCAAGAGAAGAAGATACTCGAGATGAGCGCCAGCAGTCTCAGTCAAAGCGGTCACATGGAGTTCCCACATGCTTCTTTCGTTAGGCAAGCGACAGGACATTCCATATCTCGTGCACACATACGCGACAGCCAGCTGTATAAGCGCATGGTTAGCCAGACTTTGCAGGAAGTTGGGCTTGGACCTGAGCACACTGCATCAGATGACAGGCGGCCTGGTTCCAAATCGGATAGCAATACACCGCACATGGTACCGCCAAAAGAGAGCGACGCTGTTTCGCACCACTCTTTCCACGTTGAGGGACTTACGGATGATGCTGCAGAGTCACTTGCGCGACAAATCACTGAGATCGCGGCAACGACGACCGCTTTGGCGACGCGTGACGTTACTAGGGCCCCACGCAAGGCAGCGCAACTTGCCCATGCATCAAGCAAAGCGCACACAGAACGCCCCGTTCACACACGGATGAACACAGAAGCTGCACCCGAGGAACTTGATACAGCGACTGGGCATGCCTCTGGTGGGCACGATGCGCCGAACTGGAGCCGTCAAAAGAGTGCTGCTATCCTGCTGACTGCGACTGTCGCATATGCCATCATCGCAGAGATCCTCGTCAATACCGTTGATGGTGTTCTCGAAGGGTCCGACATTGACGAGAAGTTCCTGGGTATCACTCTCTTCGCATTGGTGCCGAACACGACTGAATTCCTCAACGCCATATCTTTTGCCATGAATGGCAACATTGCGCTATCCATGGAAATTGGTTCCGCATACGCTCTCCAAGTGTGTCTTCTCCAGATTCCGGCTTTGGTGTTTTACAGTGCCATACACACAGGTTACATCCCCGCTCAGGACGTTGCCAGCCAGACGTTCACTCTTATCTTCCCGCAATGGGACATGGTCACTGTCATCCTTTGCGTCTTCCTCTTGTCGTACATGTACGGTGAGGGTAAGAGCAACTACTTCAAGGGCTCTATTCTTATCTTGTCGTATCTTGTCGTCATTGCCGGCTTCTACCTCTCTGGATTCAATGACTTCCAGAAGATGGGCGTCGATCCGATGGATACGTTGGCACTTGGGGGATTGGTCGAGCAGCAGGTGCAGTCTATGACATTCAAGACACCTGGAAGAGGTCGCAGTGGTGTGGCATACTGAAAAACTTTATGGTGATATTGAGGTGTGAATGGGGGAGGTTAGGGGAATGTTAATGAGGGTCTGCATTGGGCAGAATTCTGCACAAAAGACACATAGCGCAGGCGTTTGAGGAAAACTATATATTGGGAATAATTGTTTATGAAAGCACAAGTAGTGGCACAATCGCCGCGTAATCGGACATGGAGATGCTCTGTTGATCTGTGAAGTATGAATTATATTGGGCTGCACGCAAGTCGAGCGGTGATCGATGATGAGCCCATGCAGCGTACAATGCTCTTCCGGGCAGCATCAGAGAAAGTATATGCATAAGCTCCTGACTAGGACTGCTTGTCGACAGAAACTTGATCAGGATGTGCTCGAACATCGTGTTTCGCATAGTCGTCTACATGAAGCCTATAGACTCCAAGACACATGAAGTCGGTCCGTGAAGGCGGCTCAGCCATGCAGGTGACGACGGCTACACACCGTTCTGCGATGGGCGTGCGAAGTCGAGATGCGCGGAGTGAGGCGGGTATATCTTACAGGTCACGATGCAACGGAGTCAGCAAGTCGCAGCGCATGGAGTGGGGCGCCCCGGCGATCCAACGTGGGAGGATTGGAGAGGAGGGCGCGCGCACATGGTGCGGCAGTCTCGGAGTGGCAGATTACAGTGGGTCGGCGGCGTCAGCGGGCGTGTGAAGATCAATCGATACGCCATGGCAGTCCGCGCCTCTCCATCGGGGCTTCAATCGACCCTCTCTGCCCCGTGTATCTGTATGTCGCGCTTTGGTGTTCGCGCGCGATATGTTAGTGCGCAGTTGCGGGATTTGCTTTGTCGTGTACTCGCTTTGAACTTTGAACCGCCTTGGGCTTCTGGGACGCGCGACAGCTGAAGCCACACCCCGCGCTCGAGACTTTCTCTCCATGAGGCGTCGGGCCTGGTGTGCTGGTCATCGATAAGGCCGACGGTCAGCCGTTCGCTGCTGAGCGAGCGATATTGCTACCAAGTTTTGGATCTTACACAGCATAGACCCTGAGATGTTGCTCGTGCGACCGCACTGCCTGCCGTCGCCATTGGCGTGCTTCTTGTTCGCGACCGTCGCCACGGCCACGATATCCTCGTCTAACACGTCTACCGCGCGTACGAATCTTTATGATGGCACTCTGCCGCTCACTAACGCCCAGGGCGACGACGGGACCAGGATAGCCGACCTGATCCCATTGACTAAGGATGCCGCCAACTCAGTTCGTCAAACACTATTTGTCGCATAGCCTTTCATGCGCTGACAAGCACTAGGTCCAGGGCAATCTGTACAATACCAACTACACCAGCGTCGTAGGCATATCCAATGACGAAATCGCATACATCAGCTGCGATACCACCGACTACAACGGCTTCGACACCGCGCAGGGCGTCTTCGAACAGGTCTACCTGCAGGGCAACATCTCGGCAGTGATACTGTACAGTAGGACGTCGAACTACTGCAACTACACTCAGGACAAGACACAGGTCATGATGGATGAGTTCGCCATATACTCGATGACGAACAGAGCAGACTCGGCAAAGGTGCGCAACGACATCATCGACATGCCGGTAGCTATGAAATACTTTGTTCAAATCAAGGCGCGGGATGAGGGGAACAATGACTCCGGCAATGGCGGCCAATACCAGCAGAATCCGTTGGGACCTTCGCCTTCGACCGCCGTCGCCATGATCATCCTATATAGTATCACCGGCATCATCACAGCGCTCTTCCTCGTCATCATCATCACCGGCGCCGTTCGCGCGCATCGTCACCCCGAGCGATACGGCCCCCGAAACGTACTCGGACGGCCAAGACAAAGCAGGGCAAGGGGACTGGGACGAGCTATACTGGACACCATACCCATCGTCAAGTTTGGCGAGAAAGAGCCGGCGAAACCCGCCGATGTCGAACTGGGCTCGACAGCAGAAGCACGGGATGTGAATGGCGTAAACATGAACACGGAAGCGCAAGCGAGCTCAGGCACGGCTGCGACCCAGCACTATACAGCTCCACCTTCTGTGCCTGGTGAGACCGAGACAGCACAGGTCGTGACACCGCACCTCGCGGAAGAGCAGCAATCGGGCATCGCGCCGGCACAGCCTGTTACCGCAGGTGCGACGACAGGTACTGACAATGCTTCACCAGATGAAGGCCTAGGGTGCTCTATCTGTACCGAAGACTTTGAAAAGGGCCAGGATCTCCGTGTTCTTCCGTGCGACCACAAGTTCCACCCAGAATGCGTGGACCCATGGTTACTCAATGTGTCCGGCACGTGTCCATTGTGGTATGCTATTCCTCATTCCAACATGGAAATGATGTACTAATCACTACTAGCCGGGTCGACCTCCGCCCTGTTAACTCGCGCGACTCTACCGGATCGCAAGAAAATGAGCTCGCTCCCCCTCTCAACCCCGAAGGCGATACCTCCCATCGCCGCCGTACCGCACTCTTCGATATCCTATCACTACGTCAACGACCAAACGCCTCACCCGAAGAGCGTATATCTGCTCTGCGACGATTGAGAGAACAACGGAGGAATCAAAGCGGTGATGTCGTAAGCAGCAGTACAAATGCAAGTGCCGAGGATGTCGACGGCGCGCGTGACAGGAGAAATAGGCGCATCAGTGCGCGGCTGAGTGATGTCTTCAGTGGTCGCTCAAGGAGAGAAAGAGCTGATGAGAGCCCAGCGCAACAAGGAGGGCCAAGTAGGAATGAAGCGGATGCTGCTCCAGGCGCAAGTGGGCCAAGCGCTTGAGCAGGAAACATTATTTGTATACGAAGATAATGATATCTGTACAGAGTATTGGTATTGGCGTTTGGGCTCTCGCTTTCCCGGTCAAGGGTTTATGAGCTGCGCATCGCACGGCGTTGCGGGATACCAGGTTGTCTTGGGTAGCATGCATTCACTATGCTCTAGGATGCTAAATGCTAAGTGTTGTCCTATAGAATTTCTTGTGCCATGGTATGGTATCTCTATCGCGGTGACGCAGCTTGAGTTCACACATTGTCTTTACCGCGTTCCAAATGCCTTTTGTTAATAGCTGACCATTGATCGAAGACATTATTGGGTCAATCGAAGATCGCTAAGTATATAGACACTGCAATCTCCTAGCTATACTGCCAGGCTGTCATAACAATGAGAAGGGCAGGTCGCGCAGTAACGCTAATCGCTACAAGGTTGTAATGCCTACAGCCATTCTAGGGTATCACGACCGGATCAACATTTCCTCCTCCGTTGATCATGGCACTATTGGCCTAACAGATAGTGTATAATCCGGTTCGACCTATGCATGCCAATGCGTGAGATGACGGATAGGATTGCCAAGTGCCAACATGATCGCGATCAGCACAAATGATGCGATTCCGGTGTCAGTAAGGCTGGAAACCGGTTCTGGCATGCTTATCTGCAGCACACCTACATTACTGAACGACAACACTACGACCACATACCTCAAACACTACCCCGTCGGCTCTAAACTATCAAAAGATGACTACAGACACCGACGTCGTCAACGCCAGCTCCATCGATAGCGCCATCAAACCCCCCTCATACCTTCGACCGCAACACACCCGATCAGCAAGAGATCACTGCAATCCTTGCTAAATTTAACAAAGATCCTCTGAGCGTCATTTCCCTCGGGAAAGATGGTGTTCTGCGAACACTGTCGGCGGATCGTGCCGTTCTTGACGCAGTTGGTTTAACTCCGCGACTTGTGAAGGCGTTCTTGGACCGCGTTCCTCCAGATTATCGCGCGCTCACGCCAGAACTTGAGGATGCCGATGGGTCGAGTGTGACGTATGAGCAAATGTGGCATCCTGACCCTGGTTTGCTGCCACGACCTATGCGCGAGGAACAGAAGAAGAAGGCGTTGGCGAGTTTGGAGGGCAATTAGCAACGGGTATTCTATACCAGCGATAGTACTCAGGCAGATGTGAACGGGTTGCATCTTAGTCGAACCTCTTTGAAAGTCGCAGTACAACCTGCAGAGCGCAATTACCTATGCCTAATGAATTCAATTGTATTCTACGCTGTGTACGATATTTATATTACAAGACGCTACAAGCACGTAATTAAGAGCTTACTAGAAGCGTTAATTATAGCTACGTATAATATTTTGTGTAATACAAGATATTATATAAGAAAATATAGATAGAGTCTATATATAACGTAGGTGCATAGCGAGTGCCTAGAATAAGTAAGTAGCTAGCTTTTGCTAAGACTCTACTAAAACTCTACCTCTCTTGTAATGCCTTAATATAATAATGTATTATTAGACTAGAAAGAATCTTAAATATAGCTTACACTTTAAGCTCTTAAATTAAATATAATACTTACTATATATTGCGCTGTAAAAGCCTATAAGATGCTAAAAAGAACGCTTAGATAATAACGCGCTAGAACGCTTTATTAACGCAATAGTATACTTAACTTAATAGCTCTTTAAGAATTAGAAGAGGTAGTAATTATATAATATATTCTAAAGCTATTAGAGTAAAAAGACCTATCTAGACTTACTAATATTAAGAAGATAGCTAATAATTTACTATAACTTTGCAACTAGAACCTAATTAGTAAGAGATAGGCTATAAACTTTATTAAGCGCTGTCTAGAGCTTAATATTAAGTTTAATTAAAAGTATAACTATATTTAAGCTCTCTATAAGAATTCTAAGATTATAAAAGACTAGTTCTAACTAGTATAAAATACTAAAGCTAAGTATAGTATCTAGAATAAAAATACCTATAACTTTAATAAAATAAGCTTTATAATAGGCGTAATATTAACTAGAGTAGTAGTTATAGTAGTAGAGTGTTAAGAATAGCCTAAGATAGTATAGTAAGGTAACTATAAGTAGGTTACAGCTATCTAGAGTATTAACGCGATAGAGTAGGTAATTCTACTCTTTATTATCTTTACTAGTAAGTACTACCTCTTAGCCTAGTATAAAGAAGAAGACTTACTATAGAATTAGATTATTAGAGTCTCTAAGAATAGCTAGATAATAAATAAGCTTAGTATTAAGTAGCTAGAGCACTTTAATAAGTATATAAAGAGAAGAGTTATTAGTAGCTATTGCCTACTAGTTATTAATAGCTACAAGAGCTATAACTTAATTAATTTCTACTAGCTTTATAAGAAGAAGATAATTACTCTTTATATACTTATACACTCTTCGCACCTACTATAGCTGCTTAATATTAGATATTTTGCGCTACTAAAGAAGGCGTATAGGTGCTAAGCTAAGAAGCTAATATATAATAAGATTACTTATATTACTAAAATAGAGTTCTTGCTATGCTTTATTACTACTTATAATATCTTAATTATAAAGAGTAATATTCTAGAAGGCTTCTAAGGCGCTAGCTTAGTTCTATTTAATTTAGAGGCTGTAGTATTAATACTTAACGTCTATCTATGTACTCTACTATTACCTACTATTAAAAATAGTCTCTAGTAGTTATAAACCCTAAGTAATACCCTAGAATTTAGGTTATAATTAAGGCTTATTTGCAAGAGAATTTAGTAGTATATAGATAGCTTACTAATCTTAATAGTTAAGGCTGTTAAAAAGCTTACAAAAGAGATAGAGATAATAGCACACTCTCTAGTATTAATAACTAAGCGCAACGCTAAACTTAAAGTAGCTAATAAAGTAGCTACGTAACGTAAATTATATAAAAGAAAGCGTATATAGAAGAAAGAGACTCTTATAGTTAGTAAAGAACTTTAACTAATAACTCTAAAGAAGTTTAGAGCGCGTAGTAATAATAAAAAAGTTAAGAAAAGAGTAAGTATTAAAGTAGATAAGTTGTCTTAAAAACACTATAGACGCTGTAGTAAGGCTAGACATAACTTACGTATATATTAGTAAGATGTAGTAGAAGTTTCTAATTAATTTAGTTTATTATAATTTCTAATTATAGTTCTATATAGTTCTGCACTATTATATATAGTTGTGGTTTTAGTAGAGTCTTAGCAAAAGCTAGCTACTCGCTTGTTCTAGCTACTCGCTATGCACCTACGTTATAGCGCTTAGGCTATAACTAGCTAATTATTAAAATTTAAGTAGTTAGTAAGTACTTAGTATTTATGCGCGCGTTTAGGTATTAGAAGAACTATAGTAATTACTATAATAATACTTCTCTTTTACTCTTAAGCTTCTATAAGCGTTTATTTACTACTTTAGCTAGCTCTAAGTGTTACGACCTAGAGTTAAAACGCTAACAACTACGCCGCAACTGCGCTACATAACTTAGAACTAGGATAACAATTCTCTAAGGTAATAACAGTTAGTAGTTACGTAACTAATTACTCTACTAAGAGTTATTACTTACTTCGCTAAGAACTATTGCTAGAAGTAATTACAACTATTATAACTACTACTAGAAAGTTACATCTACTATTATTAGAAGTTACTAGAACTGTTACAGAGAGTTAGCGGGCAGAAATAATAAATGCACGTAATTAGTGTATTTACTACGTATTACTAATAGTATAGAGTTAGGCTAAGATAAGAATGTAGCTTAAAAAGCTTATAGTAGAGTATGTTTACGTAAGAATTTTAGTGTTGTAGATTTTAGGTCTACTAGTAAGGCACTTAAAATCTATATAGCTAATTAGAGCGCAGTATAACTCTTAGCGCTTTTTGCTAGCTAGCGCTATAATAGTACTTCTCTTCTTAGGCAGAGCTCTAATAACGTAGTTAATAAGGCTTATATAAGTAATAGTAATAGAAGTTCTTTATAATCTTCTAGACATTCTTAACGTAGTTAGCTAGTACTTTAGTAGGCTTATTATAGCTAGCCTATTTTACTATATATTTTAGTTAGAGACAGCCTCTATAGCTATAGTAGTTCTAGTAGAAGTCTAGAATATTCTTAACCTTCTATTCTTTAACTTCTTTAACTTAGATAGAAGAAGATAGATCTTAACACTACCTAAGTAATAGGTCTATAGTAGCTAAGTAAAGAAGGCTAATATAAAATATAGAGTAGATTCTTATAGAGGCAGATAGCTCTAGGTAGTAGATATATAGGCTAACAACTTTAGTAATGCTAAAGAGGTCTAGAAATTTCTAGTTAAGCTTCTTTTATAGGCAAGTAGTCTTAATATTCTAAGTATCTAACTAGACTATATTATTCTTAAAAAGCTAGTAAGTAGGCGTACGTTTTCTATTTATATACTTCTTATACTAAGCTTACGTAATATAAATCTCTAATTATAAGTATTTATAGATAGTTTTTATTTTTAGAGTAATGTCTTCTATATTTTAAGCAGTAGGTTACTAGCTAGAGTCTATAGGCTTAAATTCTAGATAGAGGTAGAAGCTATAGTTTGTAAAGAATAGCGTAGTGTAAGTACTCTTATTACTAGCGTTATTTACTACAAATTTAGCTAGCAGTAGCTATCTTACCTAGTTATTCTATAGGTATAAGACTTAACCTTATAAGTACTACTCTAGAAAAGAGTTTACTCTCTTTATTTATCTATCTATCTCTAGGTAGTATATAGTTAATAGAAGAGGCTAGATTTCTAGGCATTAAGTTAAGTAGCTCTAGAATTTTAATATAAATTACAAACTATAGTCTAAAATAATAGTCTTAGGTAGACTATATAGTTTCTAGATATCTTTTATAAATAGCTACGCTACTTTCTCTAAGCTATAGGTACTATTATAGGCAATAAAGTACTTTATCTTAGTAAGTCTATCTACTATAATAAGAATAGTATTATATCTACTACTCTCTAGTAAATATATAATAAAGTCTATTAATAGGTCTTACTAGGCTTAGTTAGGAATTAGTAGTAGTTTTAAAACCTCTTACTTTACTTCTTATAAAGTAGTAATTTATCTATAGATATAGTAGTTCTAGGTCTATTACTTAACGTAGTCTAGTATTCTAGGCTAGTAGTACTCTTAGAATAGTATTTTATAAGTCTAGAATTAGCCTATATAGCTAAAGACAAGACTTTTATAGTATATACAAAGTAGCTTAGTATATAGCTTAGAGTTATTAGGCACATATAAGTAGTCTTAGTAGTATAGGTAGCCTCTACTCTCTATATACTTAGTAAGCGTAATTTTCTTATAGTAGCTCTATTTAGTGTAGAGAGCCTCTAGAATAGAATTTAGTTTTCTATTCTTCTAGTATTCTTTTGTAACTAGGTTCTTTATAGTTAGTAGTAGTAGAGGTATAGTTCTATTAGGTAGTAGTATTAGATAGGCTAGTTTAGTAGTTAGTTCTAGTACTACTAGTGCTATACTTTCTATAGCACAAGCGCGCGTAATAGAAAATAAATAGATAAAGTAATTAATAGTAAAGTAGACTTTCTTTCTAAGTTCTAGAAATGCTAGTAGTGTTAGTAGTACCTTAGTAAGGTAGATAGTAGCTAGTATAGAGATTATAGTAGGCGTGTCTAGTAGAGTTAAGAGTAGGCTAAGGTTCTTCTTCTTTAGTATAACTTAGCTCTAGTGCTATAAGCGTTTATTTCTCTTCTTAGATAAGTCTTCTAATCTTCTAGTTAGCGCGTTAGGCTTTACTTCTAGCTTTTCTAGGTAGTACGTAATCTAGAAGTTAAAGTAGAAAAGAAATTCTAACTAGCAGGCTTATTATTAGTTTAGTAGCTTTATAGTAGTAAAGTACTCTAGGTTATAGTAGTCTATAATAACTTTAATTAGTAACGTAGTTTTCTTTAGCTTAGGTCTCTATTTCTTAAAGTATTATATAATTGTAAGTAGTTTCTTCTTATAGATTTTATAATTACACTCTATTATTAAATACTTTTTTAAGAAGAACTCTACAGGTTATAGTATTATATTATCTCTATACTAGGATAGTACTCTAGCGGAGACGTAGTTAGACGTATTTATCTCTAGAATAATCTTCTTCT